GCACAGAACCACGTGAAGGAGAGGTGAGCCACGCGGCCCACGGCGTGCGCGTGGCTGAGGGGCGCACGGGCCTGCGTGTGTCCCCTGTGGGTGCGCCTGCCGGGCACGCTTGGCAGAAAGTCTGAGGGGGCCACCGCCCGGGCCGGGCGCGTGGGGCATGGGCCCCGGAGCTGGTGGCCGCCTGCTGCCTGCGCCGTCCCTGTTGGGTGGACGGGTGCGCTTGTGAGAAGCACCTGGGACTCCTTCCTCGCTCAGCACCCACGGGACTCTGCTCTGCTCCCTCCTGGGGCTTCCTCCCTTGGTCCTCTCTGCGGCCGCCCCCTTCCCGGGCTCTGCCGCTCTGAGAGGGGTCACGAGGGAGGCGGCTCCCTCCTGGCCTTGGGTTGCAGACCTCGGGGTGCACTGGGTTCCGTGGTTTCAGGGTGGCTTGTTTAGGCTCCTCCTGCCTCTCCCCTTCGCTTTCCCAACCGTGCCTGGATCTCAGCTGTTGGTGGCTCCACGTGGGGGGTGAGGGGGAGGCCGGTGGCACTCTGTGGGGCCCCCCTGAGCCCATGTCCTTCTCCTGCCCCCGCCACCCAGGAGGGATCCCTGAACTAGCCAGGCTCAGGGCCGAGGTGCCGGGGCGCAGCTGTGTGCAGATGCGCTGTTGGCAGAGGGCGGAGCCTCGCACACTCTGCTCGTCTGTTTGGTCGAATAAAACGAATTCTCTCAGGTCAGCGCCTGTGTGTGTCCTCAGCGTCTCCGGGACCCGTGCTCAGGGTGGTCTGTTTCCCTCCCTTTGTCCCCCCACCCCACCCTACCCACCCGTGTTCCTGCACGACCCAGGGGCCAGGTCCCTCCGTGTGGCCTCGGGGCTGAGAGGCTGTGGCCAACGGTGCACGTGGTCTGCAGCAGGGCCACGGGAGGGCGGGCACACCTGTGTCACATCCCCGGACGGCCTGGTCCACAACCTGTGCTGGGCCTCTCCATGCAGGTGGCAGGACCCTAGAGCGTGGGCAGGAAAAGGCCGGGTGGCTTCCCTCCAGCCTGACAGGGCCGGCACTGCAGGAGCCCTGCCGGGGGGCACAGGAGGTCGGGAGGAGGCAGTGCATACACCTGGCGGGGCAGGGGGAACGGGGCAGGGCTGTGTGCCCTAAACGGAACCCTAGAGCCTGTCCGGCTCCTGTGGGCGGAGAGGAGGGGCTCTGGCAGGTCCCCCACCCTGTCTCATGTCACACCTGGTGATGCAGGGCAGCCTTTTCTGGTGGGTGGTTTCAGTCATGCTCACCCCCATGTACCCCTTAAATGGTGGGGGCCCCCAGCCCTGGTGTCTGTCTCCCTGTTTGATGGGGCTCCTGTGCTCTCCACGGGGGCCCTCTGGTGGCCCCCGGCTCTGAAGCTTGGCTGCTACACAAGGCGCCTGTGGCTTACGGGGCCCTTCTCTGCTCTCCTGGCACCACCACCCGCCCCGGCTGGACTGGGGACCCGAGCCACCCCCATCCGCCTCCCTAGACCTTCTCTGCCCCTGCTGGTCCCTGAGAACTGCCACCCTTGACAGCCCTGGGGCTCCCAGAAGATCGAGGTGCACCCTGGGGGCCTCACCTTCACAGCCTGGCTCCTCCCCACGAGGGCCCCACCTGGTTAAAGCCCAGGGGAGCCGGGCAGCCTCCCCCCTTCCCTGCGTCGGGGTTGCTCCTCTCAGCAGTGCCCTCAGCCCTGACACACAGGAGTCAGGCCGCCCAGGACCCAGCCTGAGGGTCTAGTGTCTGGGCCCAGTGTCCCCAAAGGTCTCAGAGCTGGACCAGGAGGGAGAGTGAGACGCGGCCCAGGACCCAGCCTGAGGCTCCTGGCTGGGAGGTGGAGGGCAGGGCCTCTGGAGGCTGGAAAACAGCAGGAAATGGTGTCTCCCCCGGAGCCCCGGAGGACCAGCCCTGACCACCTTGATTTTAGCCCCTGAGGCCAGGTTTTGAGCTCGAGAATGTAAGATAAATGTGCTGTCCCAAGGCACTCAGAGCAGCCAGGGAACACGGTTGTGTCTGTAGGGGCCCCCGGGGGCTCAGCACTTCCTCCCCTGCCCATCCCGGCTGCCTTCCCCCTCAGTCACCACTGGCCACCCTCTTCCCCCCCTCTGACCTCCCCCTGCCCCGGCTGAGCACAGGAAAGGGCAGTGTGAAGGAGAATTCAGCGAAGGCGGGCGCTGGGCCCGGGGTGAGGGCACTGAACCACCAGGCGGGGAGGGCCAGGCCCCTGCAGCAGTGGCTCCTGGCATGGGAGGTGTGTGTGGGCATCGCTCTGCAGCGCCCTCCCCCTGTGGGACTTGGAGGCTCCCCCTCCATCTCCACCTCCCGAGGCCTCGTGGTTCCAGGGACCGCTTGTCTCCAGCCCCGGAGCCGTGTGGCCCTCTGCGCCTACAGCCCACTGGGAACCTGGACCGTGAGGGCGGGCTCTGGGCGGGCAGTTCTCCCTGTGCCTGCCCTGCCTGTGCCACCTGCTGGCGCTCGGCCCCTGGGGGGACACACGTCGCACTCTTCCCCTCCCGCGCGGCCCCCAGCCCCGCCTGGCTTCGGTGGACGTACCGCGGTCAGTTTGGTCCCCAGCTTGCGGCTGCCAGTCCCGGCCGTGCAGGCATCCGGAATGTGCCGGTCCCGTTACCACCGGGGAGCTGGGCCTGAGGTCGCCTCGCCACCCCGTGCTCCTTCCTACGGTTAATTCCTGCCCCGCGGTGCGTGAGGCCCGTCGGCGCAGCGCTCAGTGTGACGCGCTCCTAAGTGGCGCCTGGCGAGTCCCGTGTTGGTTTTTATTGCCTCTAGTTTAATTTCGTGTCGGTGAGCGCCAGTACTACGGTGTTTGGCCTGGTTCCTGGTACAACCAGCAGAGAGCTGGTGTCAGACGTGGGGCTGCAGGATGGGGCCCTTCCCCCTGGGCAGGGCGGTGTGGGTGGGCGGAGAGCGGGCAGGCCCATCGGGGTCCTGTGACCGTTTCTCTTGGGACTCCAACCGTGCCCCCAGCAGGCCAGCACCCTGGACTGCAGACGCCCCGAGGGCCAGGTGGGGGACAGGGGAGGCCCTGGTGCGTCCAGCCAGGAAGGGGATGGATGAGGGGAGGTCTGTGTGTGTCTGGCTGGGTGGGGGACGAGGGGAGGTCTGCATGTGTCCCCTGCTCCTCCAGTAAAGTAGAACCAGAGCACAGTCAGGAGACCCCTCGGCCAGCGTCTGGGAGCCCGGGAGCCCAGGAGCCAGGTAATCCTGTGCCCTGAGGGCGTGTAGCAGCCAAATTCCTTCAACCTATTTTTTGAGCTGAAGTTGACCGGACGCTCCACAGTCCAGTGATTGCAGTGGAGCCCTTGCGTCTCCAGGGCACCCCTGGGCACCCACTTCCCTCAGAGGCAGGGAGCAGCCCAGCTGTCAGCAGCTCCCCACTCAGCCAGAGGAGCCAGGTGCCCGCCCTGGGGCCACCCTGCAGCAGGTGGTGCAGGAGGTGAGGGCAGGACTCAGGTCGGATTCTGCCCCAGGGACCTGTGGCACTGTCTGGGAACGGGTTTGATTGCCATGCAGGGCAGGTGATGGGGACAGTGCTGACGTGGCACCAGGCACAGGACGCCCCCACCACAGCTGCAGGACCGGCCCTGGGGACCTGGCGAGTGCCAAGTCGGTCCCCAAGCGAGCCCCAGGGCCAGGCTGTGCCCGACCCTCACGCGTGGGGCAGTGTGCGTGTCTGGGAGCTCCAAGGGCGGCGTGGTCTCCATGCGGACACCTCGTCCAGCTGCTCTGCCCGTCCGCGTGGCTCTGCAGCGGGTCCCTGGGTGGGCGCTGCCCTCACCGTGGGCAGGGCCTGCCCTTCGTGGTGCAGCAGCAGAGGGGCAGCCGGATGGGGCATGGTCCAGGTGCCCGCAACCTGGCTGGCAAAGCTGTGGGTGTGGCTGGGATGCCCCCCTTGGCTTCCAGGGTTGGGCTACAGCACCCCTTCCGCCTCTTCCCGAAAAAGGGCTAAAAAGAAGGTTCCTCCAGGAAGAAGTCCAGGTGCCAGGTGCCACCCTGAAGTGTCCAGGTGGCAGCAGAGGCCGTGGTCAAGCAGGGGGTGGGGCTCCTCACCCCCCTCGGGCGATGCCTCCCCATGTCCCTGGGCCTCCCCTCCCACCGGCCCAGCCCAGCGGGTCCTCCAGCTAAGGCTGGGGACAGCCCACGGGGACGCCCGACCCCCACAGCGGCCTGTCCTCCAG